TATGGAAAACAGTATGGAGATTCCTCAAAAAATTAAAAATAGAACTACCATACTATCCAGCCATCCCACTACTGGGTATTTATCCAAAGAGCCTGAAGTCAGCAATCCCAAAAGTCCTGTGCACCCCAATGTTTATTGCAGCACTGTTTACAATAGCCAAGACGTGGAAGCAACCTAAGTGCCCATCAACAGACGAATGGATAAAGAAGATGTGGTACATATATACAATGGAATACTACTCAGCTGCTAAACAGAACAAAATCATTCCATTTGCAATAACATGGATGGACCTTGAGAGAATTATGTTAAGTGAAATAAGCCAGCAAGAGAAAGATAATCTGTGTATGACTCCACTCATATGAGAAATTTAAAACTATGGACCAAGAACAGTTTAGTGGATACCAGGGGAAAGGTGGGGTGGGGGCTGGGCACAAAGGGTGAAGTGGTGCACCTACAACATGACTGACAAACATTAATGTACAATTGAAATTTCACAAGATTGTAACCTATCAACTCAATAAAAAAAAACCAAAAACAAAACAAACAAACAAACAAAAAAAAGAATTGTCTTTGAGAAAATCTAAAAAGTCATGTAGCCAGGGCATGCACGAGAGAAGAAATCATGACCTGAAATGCCCTCAAAACCAGAAATCCTCCTTCCCATGGAACCCAAGGACCAGGACAAGACCAGAACTTGAAAGTTGGATTGTTCTTTTTTTTTTGAGGAAGACTAGCCCTGATCTAACTACTGCCAGTCCTCCTCTTTTTGCTGAGGGAGAATGGCCCTGAGCTAACATCTGTGCCCATCTTCCTCTACTTTATATGTGGGACGCCTACCACAGCATGGCGTTTGCCAAGCGGTGCCATGTCCGCACCTGGGATCCAAACCAGCAAACCCCGGGCCGCCGAGAAGTGGAAGGTGCAAACTTAACCGCTGCGCCACCAGGCTGGCCCCAAAAGTTGGATTCTTATCAGAAGCAAGGGGTTCCTCATTCAGGAAGATCCGGTGTTAAAATTCTTTCCCCACCTCATCATAAAAGTTGAGAACCCTGTCATAAATGTTTAAAACCTCACCATAAATGCCCAATGCCCACCAATCAAAACCTGTCCCACCAGCGTTTCTGTGTGCCGGCCTGTTCTCCAAAATCTCTTAGGTTTTGCCCCACATCCTGAATCAGGGAGATGCATGTGAGGGCCTGTGCCCCCTGTCTCCCTGCAAGTCAAACTCACAGAATAAAGCTGCTCTCTCCCCCAAGAGGCTGATGCTGTAACTAATTGACTTGTTTATGCACATCAGGCAGAGAACCCCAGTTTTGTGCAGTAACACCAGCACAGTTTGTTTCTTCTTGCTTGGACTTAGCACCCTTATCAAGAATCAATTTGCCATAGATGTATAGGTTTATTTTTGGAGTCTCTCTATGCCTGTCCTTATGCTAGTACCATACTGTTGATTACTATAGCTTTGTAGTAAGTTTTGAAATTAAGAAGTGTGAGTTCTTTGACTTCATTTTCTTCAAGATTGCTTTGGCTATTCAGGGCATCTTGCAGTTGCGTATGAATCTGAGGATTCACTTTTCTATTTTTGTAAACAAGGCTATTGGAATTCTTAGAGAGATTGCATTGAATCTGTAGATTGCTTTGGATAGTGTTGAGATCTTAACAGTATTAAGTCTTGCTACCTAAAAACACAGATATCTTTCCATTAATTTGTCTTCTTTAATTTCAGCAATGTTTTGTAGTTTTTAGTGTACAAGTCTTTTACCTCCTTTATTAATTTATTCCTAAGTATTTTATTCTCTTAGATGCTATTGTACATGGAATTGCTTTCTTAATTTCCCATTTGGATTATGCATTGCAGGTGTATAGAAACACAACTAATTTTTGTGCATTCGTCTTGTACCCTGCAACTTTGCTGAATTTGTTTATTAGATCTAGTTATTTTCTTGTGGATTCTTTGGGAGTTTCTTTATATAGAATCATATCATTTATGAATATAGTTTTACTTCCTCCTTTCCAACTTGAATGCCTTTTATATCTTATTCTTATCTAATTGCTCTGGCTAGAACTTGAGTACAATGTTGAAAAGCAGTGGTGAAAGAAGGCATGTAACAGGTAATTTTTTAAAGAAAAAGTGTAAATGGCTTAATGATAATTTTGTAAGTAGACGTGGTGTAGAGCGGAAGTTGGCAGACTTTCTTTGTAAATCGCCATATACTATTTTAGATTTCATGGGTTGAGAGGCAAAATTGGGGTTTAAAGTTACTGTTCCCTATCATGGTAGAAACGTGACCTCAATCTCCTAAAAAGATCTTCCTTCTCTTAAAGACAGGGATGTCTCTTGAGAACTCACTGGAGTGTGTTATCTGCATCTGCCTTTGGCACTTAAACATACTGCCCTTGCAGTGTTAAATGACTTTCATATGCAGAAGCACGTTAAAGCTCAGGCCTCGGGTTTGAATTTCAGCTGAACTATTCGTTAGCTGTGTCATCTTTACTAGTTATGTTATATAGAACCTTCAGTTTTCTCATCCATAAAAGGAATAATAGTACTTCACAGGATTGTTGTAAAGATTAAATGAGCTATAAATGCCAAGGTTTAGACAGTGCACAACACATTGTAAAGCACTTGCTATAACTGTCATTCTTCTTTTATTTGTTGTCAACATTTAAAAATGTAACACCATTCTTAGCTCACAGGATGGGCAAAAAAGGAGGCAAGACTTGCTGTAGTTTGCTGACCCCTAGCACTGAGAGATGATCAGCTCTTGTATCTTGTGGAAGTGTAAATTGGATCCTCTTTGCTGAAAGGCATTTGGCAATGTATTTTAACAATCTTCACATGGCTTTATAATTGATCCCGTTGATCTCTCTTTTGGAATTTATTCTAACATCAGAGATGTGCAAGTATATTACAGCTTTATTTATAAAAACAAAAATTGCAAACAATCAAAGGAACTTTTGGTTTCCAAAGGGAGAGTTTTCACTGTGTTTTTTGTTGTATTTATGTGATGGAATAATGTTCAGTCACTAAAACTCATGTTTTTGAGAAATATTGAAACAAGAAGTTCTTGATATATGTGAAAAAGCAAGATAAAAATGATATTATCCCAGTGTTCTTAAAAATATATGTTAAGGGCCAGCCTCATGACGTAATGGTTAAGTTCACATGCTCCACTTCAGTGGCCTGGGGTTCATGGGTTCTGATCCCAGGCATGGACTTACACACCACTCATCAAGGCATGCTGTGGTGGTGTCTCGCATACAATATAGAAGATTGGCACAGATGTTAGCTCAGCAACAATCTTCCTCACCAAAAAAAAAATATATATATATATAAAATATAAATTTATAAATACAAAAGATGAATGAAATAGATCAAATTGTTGTCAGTATCTCTGGGTGACTTTTATTTGGTTTTTCCTATTTTCCACTGATTTTCAAAGATTATGCATTGCTTATATAATTAGAATAAGACCTCAGATTTTGGTTTATGAAAAATGGATCAATGATACTGTGGTTTTTATTAATTTTAGAATGTTTAAATTGAGGTGTAATTATATTAGTTTCAGGTATACGATATAATGATTTGATATCTGTATACATTGCAAAATGATCATCACAGTAAGCCTAGTTAACATCCATCACCTTATGTAGTTACAAAACAATTTGTTTTTCTTGTGATGAGAACTTTTAACATCTGCTTTCTTAGCAACTTTCAAATATGCAATACAGTATTATTAATTATAGTCACTGATGCTGTGTGTTACATCCCAGGACTTATTTTATAACTTGAAGTTTGTACCTTTTGACCCCTTTCACCCATTTCTTCCATCCCCCACCCCCCCCCCCCCCCCCCGCCACTGGAAACCACCAGTCTGTTCTCTGTATCTGTGAGCTTTTGGTTGGTTGGTTGTTTTTTTTTTGTTTTTAGATTCCACATATAAGTAAGATGATACAGTATTTGTGTTTGTTTGTCTGCCTTATTTCACTTAGCATAGTGCCCTTGAGGTTTTTCTTTGTTGTCACAAGTGGCAAGATTTCCTTTTTTATTGCTGAATAATATTCCATATTGTATATACCACATTTTTGTTTATCCATCCATTGATGGACACTTAGGTTGTTTCCATATCTTGGCTATAGTAAATAATGCTGCAGTGAACATGGGGGTACATATATCTTTTCAAGTTAAGTGTTTTCGTTTTCTTGGAATAAATACCCAGAAGTGGAATTGCTGGATCATATGATAGTTCTGTTTTTAATTTTTTGAGAAATCTCCTTTCTGTTTTCCTTAGTGGCTGTACCAGTTTATATTGCCACCAACAGTATATAAGGGTTCCCTTTTCTCCACATCCTCACCAATACTTATCTTTTTTTTTTTAAGGTTTTTTTAATTTCCAGTTTTTCTTCCCCCCAAAGCCCCCCAGTACATAGTTATATATTTTACTTGTGGGTCCTTTTAGTTGTGGCATGTCGAACACCGCCTTAGCATGGCTTGATGAGCGTTGCCAGGTACACGCCCAGGATCCAAACTGGCAAAAGCCTGGGCCACCGAAGCAGAGTGCGAGAACTTAACCACTCGGCCCCATGGCCAGCCCCTCTTATCTTTTTGATAGTAGTCCTTCTAACAAGTATGAGGTGATATCTCATTGTGGTTTTCATTTGCATTTCCCTGACAATTAGTGATGCTGGGCATCTTTTCATGTGCCTGTTGGCCATCTGTATGTCTTCTTTGGAAAAATGTCTGTTCAGATCTTCTGCCTGTTTTTTAATCAGATTGTTTGATTTTTTGCTATTGAGATAGATGAGTTCTTTATATATTTTTTGGATATTAACCTCTTATGATTTACAAATATTTTCCCATTCAGTCAGTTGCCTTTTCATTTTGTTCATGATTTTCTATGCTGTGCAGACACTTTTTAGTTTGATATAGTCTCAGCAATTGTATGTTTTTAGAAATTTAATCAAGTTCTTTATTTGCCTGTTTTTAATTTATATGACAGGGTAAAATCCTTTACAAAGTGCGATGGAAAGGCTATACATCAGAGGATGACACCTGGGAGCCTGAAGTTCATCTTGAGGACTGTAAAGAAGTTCTTCTCGAATTTAGGAAGAAAATTACAGATAACAAAGCTAAACCAGTCAAGAAAGATATTCAGGTATCATGTTTTATCTCATATTCCTTTTATTTTTTTAGTACAATAAGTTTATTAAAAAGTTTTGTGATATAAAGAATGTGCAGTAAAGAATTCACAAATAATAGTAAAGTCCACAATATTCCTATTGTAAATTCTGTAGAGCCAATTCATTCTCACAGAACGCTTTCATTGATTTTTGCCAAACTCTTCTTTCTGTAACCAACCTGTGATTGCAATTAATTTGAAACAGGTATAGTTCAAATATGTTGGTTAATATTTTCCTTTAATTCAAGAGTAAGATGAAAGTGGGAGGAAAAGAGACGTGTTGAAACTTGCCTTGTTTGTCCAAGATGTAAGCATCTTGTTTTTATATACCTGAGGAATATTTTTTGTGCTATTCATATTAGTACTACAGATACTGCGCATACTTTTATATTTAATCTGTATTATTAACATATTTCTATGTCTGATTTTTCTGCTAGTTAATTAAAACAATTCTTAGATCATTTTATAAAGCTATAAATTTTAGTACATTTCAGGTTATTAATAGGTTTGATTATCCAGGTCTTTTGTTTTTGCCTCTATTCCCATTTCAATTTTTAGCTACTTTATTGGGTTTTAGTAGCTCTTCCTGATGGTAAGGAAGGATAAAGAGATGAAAGGAACTCAAAAAAGTTAAATTTCTGTTATCAGCAGTTTGGAAAAAGATTTTCTGGTGGGATGGAGTGGGATAATGTTAAACTAACACACGTTTGGTTTAAACGTTTTCTTCTCTGGATTTGTCCACTGTTTTATCCTTGATTCTCTTATTACACAGATAATTGAATTGGCTTTATTTATGAACCTTGTAAGAATTTCCTATTTTACTTTTCCATGTAAATTTCATTTATAGCTTGTATTTATAAATTGAACCAGCTCTTATTCAACTTGTTGCTTTTCCTTTTATAGTTTTCTGCTTAAATCCTGGGAGCACTGCTTGCTTAGGACTTAGTAAGCATCATAGAAGTTAGAAATGGTTTCTAAAATAACCAAAAAAATGTTTGTTAATGCTATTTACCAGGAAAATATGCATGATGCAGAAATGATACTTGTTCATTAAAATACTTTTATTATCATTTAGCATTTGGATACCTTTTATCTTTTTGCTGACCATCAGATATTTGAAACTAAAAGAAAAACTGAGGTGCTGTTTAACATTCATGGGTGTGATATGGTCAAGCTGTTCATTTTAAATAAACTGAAAATCTACAAATAAGGTGACCACTGGTCTACCTTGAGCTTTGATAGTTGATGTTGTATGACACAGATGAGTCTCGACTGTACTGTTACATCAACATTTTACCATTTTTGCCTTTTGGGGGTTTTTTCTTTCTTTTTTTCAGGGATAGCTTTTTGTAGTAGACACAGTGTTTTATGGGTCAGACCCTTACATGGTCACAGTTACACAAACATAGGTAAAGTCTGTCTTGCTCTTGAGGTTCCTTGCAAGTTGTACACATAGAATCTATCTTTTTTAAAGATTTTTTAATTTTTCCTTTTTCTCCCCAAAGCCCTCCAGTACATAGTTGTGTGTCCTTCTGGTTGTGGCATGTGGGATGCCCCCTCAGCATGACTTGATGAGCGGTGGCATGTCCACGCCCAGGATCCGAACTGGCAACACCCTGGGCCGCCGAAGCAGAGAGCACGAACTTAACCACTCAGCCCCGGGGCCACCCCTGGGATCTTTCTTTTAAAGATAGTACCATATACTAAAGACTTTTTCTTCTGCTTTTCTTTTTATTTTATTTATTTATTCTTTTTGAGGAAGATTAACCCGGAGCTAACGTCCGCCACCAATCTTTCTCATTTTTGCTGAGGAAAACTGGCCCTGAGCTAACATCTGTGCCCATCTTCCTCTACTTTATGTGGGATGCCTGCCACAGCATGGCTTGACAAGCAGTGCGTAGGTCCACATCCAGGATCCAAGCTGGTGGGCCCTGGGCCGCTGAAGCAAAACATGCGAACTTAACCACTGTGCCATCGGGCTGGCCTCCTTCTTGTAAAATAATTTTTTATTAATACATATTCTAACCAACAAACAAGTATGTTTTTGAAAAAATTATGAAACAATCACCTGTGTACCTACTACTCAGCTAAGAGATAGTTCTGCCTCTTAAAATTTATCTGAGGATAACTTTTTTTTTAGGGATAGTTTTTTGAATTACTTCTGTCTCTTGAAGTTTGGCTATAAAGTAATAAATATATATACCCTTTTAATGTAAAACGAATTAGAATTTGTGCTTCCAAAACATTATTTATTTGTTTATTTTTTTTTTAAGATTTTATTTTTTCCCTTTTCTCCCCAAAGCCCCCCGGTACATAGTTGTATATTCTTTGTTGTGGGTCCTTCTAGTTGTGGCATGTGGGACACTGCCTCAGCGTGGTTCGATGAGCAGTGTCATGTCCGCGCCCAGGATTCGAACCAACGAAACACTGGGCTGCCTGCAGCGGAGTGCGCGAACTTAACGGCTCGGCCATGGGGCCAGCCCCCCAAAACATTATTTTTAAGAGTGTACCTATTATGCAGTAAAGTTACTCCAATAATGCTGTGGCCCAAAATGGTTTTAAATTTTTTCTTTCAGAATTGTCTTTAATGTCATGGAAGAAAAATAATTTCTAGTGATACCTCATGTTTGACTCAAAATAGTGCTCCAAAAAGCATGGTAAAGGTTCTCAAAGTGCAAGAGTGCACTTCCAAAAGTGTTCTGAGCAGTGATTGCACTGTTGAAAAGCTCATGGTTTCCAAAGGTGATTGCCTAGAGGGAGAAGACGCTGGGGGCTGTGTTGTACCTTTTGCAGGTGTATCCTCAGTCACTTTGTCATCACGCCTCGTACACATTATTGCTGGACATTCCCATAGATGGCGATGTTACGTAAATAGAGTAGGTAATTATATCTTGATTTGTTTTGGTCAGCCCCACTTTATGCCTGTTGACTTGGTATAATTATTAATAGAGCCCCATTTCATTTTCAAAGTTGTCCTGATTTGGGTAATAAGTAATATGTTTATTTTACCTGAGAGACTATTAAAATGAGTAAAAAGACAGGTTGCTAGTGTACTAGAAGTGCTCAGACCTGTGGTATGTGTGATTTCAATTCTTTGTTGTGATTATTTTATAGTTATTTTTGAAGTTATCGCTTTAGACATTTGTCTACATGTTCTCTGATGGCAAACAAGAGCTGTTCATCAGATGGTAACTAATTTTATATCCTGACTTCATTGAACCTGGCCAGGGGCTCCAGGGCTGGCTCACCCAGGCACAACTAACCTACTGATTCATTTAAAATATGGCTAAATAATCATTTCAAACATCGTATTTTGATGCCTGAAGTCAAACTACTAGATTTATAATCTATTTGCATCAAGCTGTTTCATATTTAAAATCTACAGGTTGTAACTGTCTTGGGGAGTAGTCTAATGACCAAATTAAAAATCTTTTTTCAAAGTTTTTTGCTGAAAAGCCATGATTAGAGCTCTTCCCAGATGACTGAGGAAGAATAAGAAGGATCAGGAGCTTACAGGTGACCCTGCCCCCCTATTGTAGTGACAGCTCTACAGACACCAGATTGGGCCAGGAGTACTGCTGGCTGACCTGACAAAGCAGAGCAACAGGGAAGGTGCAGAAGGACCGTGGCAGTGAGGAGACAACGCTCTAGTTGGTTTAGAGGCCTGATTTTAGAGTTTTGATGAGTGGAAACTCCTGGGGGATCTTTTTTATTTATACGCTTGAGGATTTTCAGAACTTTAGAATACTTTTAAGTTGTTTTTCCTGATAAAAGGAATAACTCTGACTTCTTTGCTAACTATTTCATGTTCATTCATTTAAAAAAAATCTAGTTGTAATATGTGACAGTCACTAGGCATACAAAGAAAAATAAGATCTATCCTGGCCTTCAGGAGCTCCCGGGACAGTCAAGAGGAGGGCTAGGCAAACAGGAAACTAAACTGTAGAGTGAAGAACATTCTCAGGCAGCTGTGTGTGTGCTGCGGAAAATCTAACAGAGGAAGGAGCAACTAACTTTCTAAGATAAGCATAAAAGTTATATTACAGAGGATTCATCATTTGGCCTAAGCCCTGAAAGATGAGGAATTCAGGGGATCCTGGGTGGGGAAGCAGATACGGAGATGTGCAGCAGCACAGGTTTTGAGAATAATGAGAAGGGCTAGAGCACTGACCAGGAAAGTAGCAGGAGTGAGGCTGGGCAGAGCCTAGGAAGAAAGTCATAGCAGCCGAGGTTAAACTTGATCGCTCCGGTGGTCAAAAGACCAGCAGAAGTTTTGAGGGAAGTCGTATGATCAGATTTGTATTTTAGGAAGATGATTTTTGGAGAATTTTATTAAGGGAAATTTGAACATTTAAGAAAGGAGAGGGCAGTATCACAAGACTCCAGTGTTTGTCACCCAGTTTCAGTCATCAGTACTTTGCCATTCTTCTTTTTTCTGTCTACTCCTCCCCCTCTGCTTTTTCATTTGCTGGAGTATTTTAAAGCATATTCCAGATATGACATCACTTCACCCTGAAATACTTCAGTAGGTAAAAGGAATTGTTAAAACATAACCATTATAACATTATCATGCCAAAAAAAGGTTTACACTTATTAATGTCTTCTAATATCTAATAATGTGTTGAGTTTTCCCCAGTTGTCTCAAAAATATAAAACAAAACATGTCTTTTTGTTGATTTGATTGAATTGGGCATTGAAAAAGTCTACCCATTATATATCATTGATAATCTCTAAAATCTCGTTTAATCTATAACAGTTTCTTCCCCTAACTTCTCCCTTCTTTCTCCATATTGTTTATCTGATGAAGAAACTAGGACTTTTTTGTAGAATTTTCCATATTTTGAGTTTGGCCGGGTGCATGGTGTCTTTTAACATGTTCCTCTATCCCCCATATTCCTGTAAGCTGGTAGCTAGATAAAGAAGCATGATTACATTCAGGTTTGATTTTTTTCTTTTGGCAAGGATAGTCATAGGTA